GATGTGATGTGATGTGATGTTGATTAGTTAGTTAATAAATAAATAAATAAATAAACATAACATCCTTCTAATCTAAATATGTTAATTTTCCAAGCAATTTTATGTAGTTGTACATTTTCTCCCACATACTTTATCGATTAATAGTTACCATAGGAACAACAGAAATGTAACCAAGGTAACAACAAAATTGACAATTGTATGGTTAATTCTTGCTTTATATTTGTATTTCAGATTATTAATATTCAAGATATTATCAGATCAAAGAACATGGATCTTATGAAAGATGTGTATCCTTTATTTTTATCAACTTTAAAAAAAAAATGTTGTATGTAGGAAGGATATTGACACAAAGTATTTTACAGTGGTTGACTCTTTCTTGTCCTTGCAATCTACCTATAACCACAGTCCCTCTGATAGAGGGACTGTGCTATAACCTTACGAGAACAAACATTTTGATTTTGTGAGAGGCAAGGGAACACAAATTAAAAGCTCAAAATTGTGTTGAATTGAAAATTTGTGACATGGAGTGTGTCGGTGTCATTTGTGGAATGTTTCGGCATCATTTGTGAAATGTTTTTACGAATGCCATGAAATCGAGAAAATTACTGAAAAGTATGCGGGTAACAGAATGTTCTATTGATTGTTCTTCTCGACATCAGAATAGATTCCTTAACCTTATCTCCAGTTATATTGTACAGTGTCTGATGGAGACAGATTTATACAAACTGCTGAAAACACAACAACTAAGTAATGACCACGTGTGTTATTTTCTGTATCAGATCTTACGGGGACTTAAATATATTCACTCTGCCAACGTACTTCACCGAGATCTAAAACCAAGTAATTTGTTACTCAATACAACATGTGATCTAAAGGTAAGTTTAAAGACCATGCTATAAATCCCTGGGATTGCAGATGAAATGTGTGATATTCTCTCACATGTATCAGTCTGTATACTGTAAATTGCTTTAATTTTGCCGAGACCCATTAGTCAAACCAATCAAAGAGCAAGCAAATAAAATGCGCCTTAGGTAAAATATATACAGCGAAAAAAAAGCCAGTGTCATTGTAAATCATTGGACAAGTAATAATATTCTAAATAGAAAATGTTAGATTGAGAAAAGTTTCATATTTACAGATGGTAATTTGTGTACATTATTTGCATATGGAAATATAATTTCTGAAAAACCCTGTAGTGATAATTGGCCTTGAATTACAGCAAAATCTGTATATATTATTATTGAAAAATTAACCAAAAATTCATGATTTCTTGTATGTGTAGATGCTGTAATAGGAGCCACATCCCCTCGGTTGCATTGAACCATTGTAATAGAATCCATGGCCATAGATTTTACGATGCGATTAAGACAAAATTACCTTTAATTCAGTAAACAACAAATGCAACTTTTGGTTTATATGTACTTTTTTAGGAGATGGGCATCTAATAGAGCAAATGGGGAATTTACAGTTTCACTGATAATTAAATTTTGAATTACACATACCATGAGAATTTGTCATTGTGAATTTTGGTGCCCTGCCAAGTTGAGGGAGAATTGGGAATGGTATATTAACCCTGGATAGGCGACTTCCGAAAAAAAGTCTGAAACTAAACATGTATTGAAAATATCTAGATTTGCTGTATTTTAAAGTTATTTGATTTACTGTAAAATCTGTATTAGAAACTGCGGCTTCTATTAAAATGGTACAATGCAATAGAGGGGATGCGGCTTCTATTAGAGCATCTACACATATGAGAAATGATGATTTTTTGGTTCTCAATTTTTCAAAAAGAATGGGTGTGACTTCTATTAGGGATGCGGCTTCTAATACAGATTTTACGGTATTTCTTGTCAAAAATGAAACTTATTTTGTTATCTTACAAGATGGTGTCACAATTTTGAATTGCATGTCGTAGTGTGTCACTCAGAACATTTCATTTGAAGCATGTTTGCAAAGCAAGTTTTGATACGTCAAAAAACCCAGTCAACAAACGAGCTGCTTTCTGATTGGTCAGACTGTTAGATTTTGGTAACCAATCAGTCACAACCTTGACTCAAGTTTATCTCGTGTACTTTAAAACTTCATCATATTTAAGAGTGACCTTTATGCTCATTGTGGAATAACTAACATTTTCTTTCAAATTTTTTTTATTTCTCATCCAGATTTGTGATTTTGGCCTTGCAAGAATAGCAGACCCCAACCACGATCACACTGGTTTTTTAACAGAGTATGTTGCCACTAGGTGGTACCGGGCACCTGAGATAATGTTAAATTCAAAAGGCTATACCAAATCTATTGACATATGGTCTGTCGGATGTATTCTGTCGGAGATGCTTTCCAATAGACCAATCTTTCCTGGAAAACATTGTATCCTTTTCAGCTCTGCTGTTGGCTATAATGTATAATGTAGAGCTTATGTCGGGTATGTCTGTCTGTCCGTCTGTACGTCCATCCGTCCGTCCGTTCGTTCGTTCGTCCGTCCGTTCGTTCGACTGTCCGTCCGTCCGTCCATCACCAGCCATATTTTGGGTTTTCTCTCTAAAAACCATTATCCATATTGTTATTTTAGACCAGGCTTTCTCTTCTTAATGAACTAACCATATTATTAGCTCTGCTGTTGACTTTTTCGAGTGGAGCTTATCATATGATTGTCTATCGTCGTTCGTGTCAATGTTTTACTTTTTTGACTTCTTCTCGAAAAATACAAACCGGAATGCTTTGATACTTGGTGTATATGTATCGTGGCTAGGCCTCTTTTAGATTTGTTCATTTCATGATGTTATCTTCAATTCTCTAAATTTGGTGAATATTTTTGGCGTTTTTGGTAGAAAGTGTTATTTTTCGATTTTTTAAGTTTGATGGCTTTGATATACCGTATAGGTACTACATTGTGTAACTCCTTTCAGATTTGTTCATTTTGTGATGATATCTTCAATTATCTAACTTTAATGTATTTGTTTTGTAAATTGTCGAAAACATAAAGTCCGATTTATTTGATACTATACATATTGTTCATTTTCTAATGATATCTTCTGTTCTTTAATTGAAATGTGCATTGCTAACAGCGGGGCTATCTCAGCCGACAGGCTGCTTGTTTATACATATTATGACACAACATTTTCCTGTCTGTTTTCATTTACCATGTACATCCTTAACTGTTACTGGTAATACTACTACATTATTGTCCCCATAGTGCTGTGACACTGCCATGTCTTTATTGGTAATTAAAGCGTAAAGAGCACAAATTATTTTGATTAGCAATGTGCATCGCTTGTAGTAATGTTGTTACCTGTATCACTTTAATTGGATGAAGATGATGGTTTTTTTTCTCAAACACCTGTCAGCAATGCCTTCTATTACACAAACTAAAATATTTAGCTTGAATTCCATTTAATTTAGCATGTCAGTTTTGTTAGTTCGGCGGAGCGGAAATGTTCATAGATGGGATTGTTTGTCATCAGTCTGACAACTATTACAATTTGTATGTGGGGTTGACAAAGTCATCTGAGCTAGTGTGTGTGTGCGTAAATAATGTTTTCATCACATGTAGATCACAGCAGATAATTTCCAGGTCAGACAATCACAAAGTAAGACCTCCCAGTAGCCATTTTGGATTTGACAATCGTCCCAGAGGCCATTTTGGATTTGACCATCATCCCAGCAGCCATTTTGGATTTGACCATCATCCCAGCAGCCATTTTGGATTCAACCAGTTCTATCTTGTGTGTTTTTTTCCTTGATTTTTGTTTTTCTCTCAGACTTGGATCAGTTAAATCACATTTTAGGTGTTCTAGGATCCCCCAGTGCTGAAGACCTTCAGTGCATTATTAATGACAAAGCTCGTGGATATCTTCAGTCTTTACCCTTCAAGCCTAAAGTACCGTGGAGCAAACTTTATCCAAGAGCAGATTCCAAAGGTGAGTTTTAGCTTTATATTAGTTTTATTGGCATACATGATTTGATTTGCTTCCTTGTGACAGTGGAGATAGTGTGTTCATGAATTTTTTTGTTGTGAAATGACTTAATATCAAATGTTTGATATGAAAATGTTGTGCTCAATTTTCATTCGACATTTATAAATATCACTTGTATTTTCTTGCATTTTTGTGAGACTATTTGTGTGGTGTGAATAAAACCAAACCAAACTGGGACAAAAAATAAAAAAGAACCATGATGATGTTGCACATCTTGTGTGAATTCTGTTTATAAGTTATAGCTATCGTCATGGTAATTTTATCTTTATTGCTCTATGCTTTGTGAGGTTATTGCCCTAGGCACAGTATTATTTCTTGCTGTTGTATTTTTTTTTTTTCTACCCTTTTCCCCACTTACTTTGCACGTCTAACAGTATCTGAGCTGTCGTGTATAAACGCATATATAAAATTTAATCCTGATAATATTGATTGCGAGAATATAGACAATCTTGATTTGCAGTTTCTAGAAAAATCCACAAACATTAAGTATATTAGAAAAATCCTGCAAAGGTCAAATTTTATCATTTAATCATATGCAAATTAGCTTGATATTTCCGAATCCATTAAATGATGTGGTGTCATTATTATAGATATTGTAGAAAAGGCCATTGAATAAGAATTCTGTCGACTGTTAACAGTAATTGCCCTTATTTCCTGGCATTTAAAATGTCGCAAACATTGCGTTCAGCTTTTGCCGATGGCAGTTCTTGTTAATTCTACACGGCCTTCACAACTGCTTACAACAAGTGGATTTGAAATGTCAGTTAAACCAGCGTAATCTGATAAAATGATAAAGCGCAGGATGCCTTTTCTTGTACTGCAAGATCTTATCAATTATGAAGCAAACCTTCTGTTTCCATGGCAACTCTCCAGTTGAAGTGCAAAGTTCATGTTATATTTGCCAAGCTTGTAATTCAGATTCATTAAAGTGTTTGGGTTAGGGTTGCCACCTGTTTGTCTTAGTGTTCTGTGAACCGTCCTTTTATTATTGACTACTGTAAAACACTTTATAATTCGGTCTCCGTGCGTCCGTGTGTTCGTGCGTGCGTCCGTGCGTCCGTCCGTCCGTCCGGAGTCGTATCTCAGAATCCCTTGGACCGATTCCGTTCATTCTTTGCATGTGCCTAGTACTTTATGTGGGACATATGCACATGCAGTGGTTTAGCGATTTTATTCAAAATGGCCACCTGGCAGCCATTTTGTTTTTTAAAAAAGTCGTATTTTGGACATGCTTTGTCGGTTTTCATTCAAACTTGGTACATAGATTATACATGTTAGGATACATGTCCCTGACCGTTCGTGAGTTCCTGTCTGTCTGTCTGTCTGTCTGTCTGTCTGGAATCCTGTGGACCGGTTCCATTCATTCTTTGCGTGTGCCTAGTACCTTATGTGGGACATATGCACATGCAGTGGTTTAGATATTCAATTCAAAATGGCCGACTGGCAGCCATCTTGTTTTTTGAAAATGTTGTATTTTGGACATGCTTTGTCAGTTGTCATTCAAACTTGGTACATAGATTATTCATATTAGGATACATGTCCATGACGATTTATTTCGCAATTGGATCAAAGATTTTATGCGGTATCTTGTCAGTTTTCATTCAAATTTGGCACATACGTGTACGTTATACATGTTAGGATGCATGTCTATGACAATTTGTTTCAAAATCTAGTCAAGGATGGCAGCCATCTGACTTTTTGGCCTTGCTACTATATTTCCACAATTTATGTACCATTTTCATTCGAATTTGGCACATACATCATATACATATCAGTGTGTTTCATAATCAGATCAAAGATGGGCCGAATAATGGCTGTTTTTATTT